TACATCCACCCTACCTCTCCTACATCCACCCTACCTCTCCTCCACCCTACCTCTCCTCAATCCACCCTACCTCTCCTCCATCCACCCTACCTCTCCTCAATCCACCCTACCTCTCCTACATCCACCCTACCTCTCCTCCATCCACCCTACCTCTCCTCCATCAAACCTACCTCTCCTCCATCCACCCTACCTCTCCTACATCCACCCTACCTCTCCTACATCCACCCTACCTCTCCTACATCCACCCTACCTCTCCTCCACCCTACCTCTCCTCAATCCACCCTACCTCTCCTACATCCAACCTACCTCTCCTCCATCCACCCTACCTCTCCTCCATCAAACCTACCTCTCCTACATCCACCCTACCTCTCCTACATCCACCCTACCTCTCCTCCACCCTACCTCTCCTCAATCCACCCTACCTCTCCTCCATCCACCCTACCTCTCCTCCATCAAACCTACCTCTCCTACATCCACCCTACCTCTCCTACATCCAACCTACCTCTCCTCCATCCACCCTACCTCTCCTCCATCAAACCTACCTCTCCTACATCCACCCTACCTCTCCTACATCCACCCTACCTCTCCTCCACCCTACCTCTCCTCAATCCACCCTACCTCTCCTCCATCCACCCTACCTCTCCTCCATCAAACCTACCTCTCCTACATCCACCCTACCCCTCCTCCATCAAACCTACCTCTCCTACATCCACCCTACCTCTCCTCCATCCACCCTACCTCTCCTCCATCCACCCTACCTCTCCTCCATCCACCCTACCCCTCCTCCATCAAACCTACCTCTCCTCCATCCACCCTACCTCTCCTACATCCACCCTACCTCTCCTCCATCCACCCTACCTATCCTCCATCAAACCTACCTCTCCTCCATCAAACCTACCTCTCCTCCATCCACCCTACCTCTCCTCCATCAAACCTACCCCTCCTCTATCCACCCTACCTCTCCTCCATCAAACCTACCCCTCCTCCATCCACCCTACCTCTCCTCCATCCACCCTACCTCTCCTCTATCCACCCTACCTATCCTCCATCCACCCTACCTCTCCTCCATCAAACCTACCTCTCCTCCATCCACCCTACCTATCCTCCATCCACCCTACCTCTCCTCCATCAAACCTACCTCTCCTCCATCCACCCTACCTCTCCTACATCCACCCTACCTCTCCTCCATCAAACCTACCCCTCCTCTATCCACCCTACCCCTCCTCTATCCACCCTACCTCTCCTCCATCCACCCTACCTCTCCTACATCCAACCTACCTCTCCTCCATCAAACCTACCTCTCCTACATCCACCCTACCTCTCCTCCATCCACCCTACCTCTCCTACATCCACCCTACCTCTCCTCCATCCACCCTACCTCTCCTACATCCACCCTACCTCTCCTCCATCAAACCTACCTCTCCTCCATCAAACCTACCTCTCCTACATCCACCCTACCCCTCCTCCATCAAACCTACCTCTCCTACATCCACCCTACCCCTCCTCTATCCACCCTACCTCTCCTCCATCCACCCTACCCCTCCTCTATCCACCCTACCCCTCCTCCATCCACCCTACCTCTCCTCCATCCACCCTACCCCTCCTTTCACCCTACCCCTCCTCTATCCACCCATACATGCATATAATATAATTACTTCCAAGATTCTGAGAATCTTTTTTTACTGCCGGGATGGTACACGTTCCTCCATGTAAATAAAGCTTAAATTTATAAATTATTGTTGAAGGTTGCTGTATGCTTATGAACACTCTGGTGAAAATAGGAGTGAACCAGATTTATTTGTTCAAATTTACTTGTTTCATTAATGTTGATACTTATATTCACAATTTACTTCTCTTATTCTTATTATTTGACACATCTTGAATATAACTAAAGAGGAAAGAGTAAGGAGTCACTTTTATGAGATGAGTATAGAACCAGCCCAAGTAAAATGAATACAGTGCAGGTTGTAATTGTGATTATCATTGATTATGGTGATGGTGATGATGATGATTATGATGATCTAGCGCAAAACGAAGATAAAGACGATTAGTATCATTATTAATATTTTAATACATGCCCAAGCATTAACAATTCCATTTGGGTCACTTTGTGAAAATATTGTTTCGCCAAGCCAGTGCTAGATAATACTACGCGCTGTACGTCACACTTGATGAGGTCACTTTGTGAAAACAATGCTTTCCTAATAAAATTAAAGTTTTGCTTGCGCGCGCTGTGCGTTTAGCGACGCAATCAATTGGGTCACTACGTGGAACTATTGTGTCCGCGTATTCTGAAAAGTGTTGTTTTCACGAAGCGACCCGAATGTTCACAACCCTATAGCTTAGTTATTTTTCATTGACTTCTGTTTAGAAATAGACGTTTAGAAAGTAGAGATTCTCCTCTCTCATCCAGTATGAAATTTGTAAACATTACAATAAACTAAAACCCCGATGTGAGTAATTTAAAAAGTGAAAATCTTTAAACGCATTTTTCTCAAAATAGACTTTCGCGGACGCGCGGGCGTTTGTGCCATTACGTGAAATCAGCGACGATATGATGCACGCACGGCCGTTGATGCGAACAATCCATGCACACACCTCCGATATACATCTAGCTGTAGTATCCAATCTTTTTAATGAATCTTCCCCTAGTTTTGAAAGCACTTTTACACAAAACTAACTTCGCCAACACGAAACTGGGCAGAGAGTGAGACTGGAGTTTGAAGTCTAGTAAAATGTTACTTTTTGCAAATCGTCCCAGACTTATCTCTGGAAAAAAAAACGAAGGCTCTTTTCACCGACCTCTGAAACAGAAAACTACCTAGGCCTAGGGGTCTATAACTTTTTAAATACCGACAGTTTTAAATGAAAATATATTTGAAGAATAATATCAATTTGTGTGTGCTGTGAAATTTTCATGAGCTTTGAAGCTAGAATAAGGGAGATCCATGAAGGTTAATTGTAGACAAATTTTGCTCCTCTCTTTGAATAACGATGACTCACCAGTTTGAAGTTTGAGTGTAATTTTATGAGGGAGTAGGGAAGAGATTAATTTTCTCCTCTCCCTCCCTTTTGATAGAGTTTAACTCTAGTTCACGTCCATTATGCAAGTTATTTGACCTTTCAGGATCAGTGAACACATTTTGTGGCTACAAAGAATGAGTGCACATGGGCGAGAAGCGGGCTCTCAATTAATCTCTTCCCTATATACTCCCTCATAAAATTACACTCAAACTTCAAACAGGTAAGTTATCATTTGAGCTTTCAATAAGTGCCCCCTTTCCATCAATAACTGCCACTTTGCCTTTGCAATAATTGCAATAAGTGCCCCTTTTCCGTTTTTGATGAGCCCCTTCCCCTTTTCCAAATACTGTACCCCTTTTTATAACTGATGAATTCCCCTATTAAAATCTGATAGGCGCCCTTTTCCTTCAACAGATTCCCCATTTCCATTCTCACAAGTGCCTTTTTCATCTCTGTTGAGGCCTTTTCAGGTGCAAGTAGCGGCCCATCTTCTGACAAGTGCCTACTTTTCCTTTCTCCATAACATGCCACCCTAATTTAAAGCTATTTAGAGCCCCTTTATCTTTAATTCTCATTATAGCTTGCTCGCTACACACGCTCGCATTTGTAGTTGTTATAATTATGTTGTTTTTTGTCCTCTTTTTAAGATTAAATTTTTCGCACAGGGATCTCACAAATCTTTATTTTTTTGCTTGCTCGCTCGAAAATTAATGCTCCGACCATCACACCCAACTGCAAAGTTTGTTGCTTAAACATTATATTGTACCACATAAAGAGAGAAAAAAATATTGATGTCATCCCTGGTAGTGTAATCACAATCATGACGATGTAGGGGTATAGTTCAATGTCTAAAAATGGTGTATGTTCACTTTGAGGTTTCCCTTTGTTGGTGCCCCCCCTCCCCACTTTGGAAGACGCTAAGACGCCCCTGCTATAATTTATCATATATGGCTAAATCTGTAATGTCGCTGTGACCTAGTGCCCTACAACTTTGCTATTTTTTTCAAAACTCAAAATTACCAAAATTTCAGCTTTTCAAAAACGACCTATGATGGTGTGCTATCCATAATATATTATGAGCAGTGCCCCAATGGAGAATTAGAAGGAAAAAACAATATTTTTTGTACGTAACAAACAGAAGAGTTGTCCATGATTACGACACAATCCACAGACCAAATTACAAATTTGAGATACACATAGATTTAGTATTCTCATATTTAAAACATTCATAATTTCTTATGATTGAGTTGACTCAATTTCATTTCAACTTTCACCAGTTTCGTTATTCAAAATTTCTGCTTTCTGTAAGAGCAGTTATTAGCTATTAGGATTGGATTTTCATTTAAAACCTGACTTTAATGTCCTGGGGGTCAGTTAAACACACCGACTCACAGCCTTGGCTGTCGAAGACCAAAAAAAAAATAATATTAAAGAGAGAAAGAATTTTGGGAGAGAAGCATCCCCCCCCCCCCCTCCCGAGATCTGGTGCAAGTGTGTTTTTAAACTGTTGAAATCTATCAATTCCACCATTTACAGCTGTATCTGACATCACCATGCTCTTGTGTCAATTCCCATAATATAATATCTTTGTATATACACCCTATACAATCAGCATATTCCCTATATGAAATTTTATTAGCTTCACTAGTAATCATTAACCCTTTGAATATATATATTTTGTCAGAGATTGGTGTATCGCCGCCCGCCCCAAAATCAATTGGTGAGATTGCTTTTGTGACAAAATCAAATGGTGGGATTGACATAAACATTAATCTTTTGAGAACGTGTGTAATACTTGGCGCCCCATACATTATAACCCCTTCTAAATATAGTTCAGTATTAAATCACACAAGTCAAGTCAAGAGGAAAATATTTGGATAAGGAAAAAAAGTTTTAAAAAGTAATCCATTTTATGTACACTGTAAATACATGTCACTTATAGTAAGTTAGAATCCTCTTTTTTTTGTCAATTACAGGATGTCTTGCTGGGGTTATCATTCATGTGCCTTTCCAGCGAACTGAGTTTCTGTGGAATGAGAAAAACATCTTGCACCATGGATGGATTCTGCCTTCTCTATCTGCTCATGATCCTCCTGATGAGATCTGGTGATGTTGAAACCAACCCTGGACCAGACAGGTCAGTATGTATTTGAACTTATTTCCGGTTCTTTATTGCAACAGTAATGAGCAGTAGGGATATTGGGGTAATTTTCTCATTATTAAAGCATAACACCATATACATGCATGCCTATTTTTCTTCCATATATTCAAGTGGAATGCTAAATGAGGTATAAGCCTTGTGTGTGCATGCTTCAGTATACCTTTAAATAAATCTTATCAGTTCTTGTAGCTTTATTAAATCAGGTAGGTATGCGCATGAAGCTAGTGCTCAGCTGTTGGAGCTAGTGTACATTTTTGCGAGCTTGAGTAGTTTATTCTTCCATGTGATGTAGTGAGTTGTACAGTCTGTTTCACCTGAATGCTCATCAGCAACTGAACTAAACTTGCAAAGTATGAAGATAGGTGCTTAAATGAATGTACAGTAAGGGTTACAATACAACACAAGACATACTGAAGATAAAAATCTTTTCTTCTAATTACAGGATTGTCAGTGAGGAGGAATTCATAAAGCTTACCACGTTAATTGCACCTTCCTACTACCATAAGTTGGGCGTTAACCTGGACATCTCCATCGCAGAGCTTGGTCAAATCGAGAAAGATAGCCAAAATACTAGTGATGCATTGATGACAGTGTTCACGAGATGGAGAGACAAACAGCCTCCAGGCACATACATCAGGGTTCTTCTTGCAGAGGAATTAGAAAGAAGTGGCTTAGGGTCCCTCTCTGGGGATCTACTCGCTGGAAGTCTAGTCCTGAAGCGGACAGGTGAGAAAAAGAAAGGAAATCATGTCGGCTGCCCGCATGAAGGCCTTTATTACTGCCATTGATAATGTATTGCTCTTGCAGGCAGCCAACAAACACTGTTGTGACACTTTTTCGTTTGGTACAAATAGGGTTACTTTATAGCAGGACATCCCAGTAGACGAACAGCCCACGAGACTGATACTGCCATGAGACTGACATGTCGGTCTCATGGGCTGTCAGTCTTTGGGTCGTTGTCTCATGGACCTTCTAACAACTTTTCAGATGGTTTGCTAGACAGATATTGTCGGTCTTGTGAGCTGTTGGTCTTATGGGCTGTGAACTTTGCAGGAATTATGAATATGTCATGTATGTCCTATCTGTGAAATTTAAACGTTAGCAGTGTCCTAATATTTAAATTATGCAAGGAAACCCGTTTACTTGCTAGACTTCACTGTCAGACACGATTGAGTGACTGACTGGCTTTTTTTCTTCTTTGGTAATAACATGCATAAAATGAGCTGTAAAGGCTACATGTGCATTTATCTACATCAATAACCCACGTTTTGTAATGGCCAAAAATAAACTGATTGAATCTTTGCACAGCATAAAACGTATGACCATTCGGTACAATGGTCTGGAAATCAGACTATTACTTACTGGCTCTATAGTTCCTAAGTCGATTCAACAACTAATAGTCGTTATTTTCCCACTTATAGACATTTTCAAGCCACCCCCCCTTTTTTTTAGGGAAGTTCTAAAATAGTATTATCTTTCAAGTGCCGTTGGATTTAACCTTTTCATTTTTGTTGGCCTGCAAATGGGACATAAAGGCCTGACAAAAAGCCGATTTAAATCGGTTTCCCGATTTATTTATTTTTCCCCCGATTTGTTTTCTTCTTCCTGATAAAAAAAAAAAAAAAAAAAAAAAAAAAAAAAAAAAAAAAAAAAAAAAAAAAAAAAAAAAAAAAAAAATCGTTTTTTTTTGTTTGCCAGATTTTTTTTCTTCTTCCCTCTTTCAACCAGATTTTACTGATTTCCCCGTTATTTTCTCTAATCTACCCTATTTTGCCCTATTTTTTTCCCAATTTTCTTACTCAAAAAGGGGAATGTTGTTTGATGCCATTTTTTCCCCGCGAATCCTCTTCTCTTTTTTTTTCCTCGAGGGGGACGTGGTTGAGGGGAAAACAGAAAACCTATTTTTTTTTAGTGCTCACTATCAACCCTGGACAAAGTACCTTTAATACATGGTTACAGGCCCACTCACTTGGTAGTTGTGTATTAAAGGGAGATGATGAAATTAGTTTTACATGAAGCTGTGCAAGGATTATCATTCCAATTCCTTGGCATTTCAAGCCCAGCCACTTTCTGACCATTTTTTCAAGTCATGCTCATCTTTTGACACCGAGCTTATGAAAATTGTAACATTACAGAGTCGTTTTTATCTTTTGTGACCTTTTATCAGCCCCAAAATAGATTATTTCTGATTTTTGTGTCCAAAACAAAAGGAAATCTACATTTCTCTCAGTTCTTTCTATTTTGAGTGGAATTATTCTTTGAGCTAAGAAATATAAGCTTTAAATGTTTCATCATTATTGTCCATACTGTTAAGCATTAGAAATTAATGATATTGACATGTTACTTAGCGATACATAAATAGACATATGTATATACCTTCATACCTAAAGACAAATTCTATTGAGATAAATAAAAAAGATAAATAAAAAGAAAACAAAAAGGCAATAAATTATTATCTGTTCTCATTGAATCTTGAAAAGTTGACAACAATAAATACATCAGAAATTTGTTTTTACATTCATGTGTATATGTTATGAATATCCTAAACAAAAACATTTTGATATTCCGAAGAAATAATCACACTTTTAAAGGTGCACCTGTTACAACGCCAGGATCACAGACCCAATCACTTTCTCCTGACCTGATCAAGAGATGTGCAGATGATTTCAAATTCAAGTACCGGACAGCTTTCTGTAAGATCAGAGATGATCCTCTCGACCCTGATTCCATTGTACCATTCACAGACATGTACACAAACCTTGTCCTGGAAGAGGAATATCGGAAAAAACGCAAACGACCACTTGAGTACAGTGATCTCTTTAAACTTGAAGTCAATGGAGAGTTCCCCAAGCGGATCATGGTTCAAGGAGAGGCTGGGGCTGGAAAGACAACATTCTGTGCTAAGATTGCCTGGGACTGGATAAATGACAATCCTGCTGTCCCAAAGTTTGTGTGGGTACTTGTTGTCCCTTTTCGTGAAGCCAAACAATACACGATTGGTGAGATTGCCAAGTCATATCTCTCCAAGGACAACCCAGCAACAGCCTGCCAGATCACTGAGTACATCCGTTTAAATCCAAAAGAAGTATTCATTGCGTTTGATGGATTAGATGAGTTTAAGGGCAAAGTTGTACAGGAAGGGGAAGCTGGTTCAAAGTCAGAATGTCACCAGCCACAGCCTGCTGATCAAACCAAGGCAAGATCAGAATCAAAGATGAACAAGAATAAGCGGCAGAAGTTAACGCATCCAGAGTCATCAAGTGCCACTTTGCAGCCAATAGTCACCAGTGCAGAGGCAAGTGGAAGTTCTTCAGAGAGAGGTGACATTGCACTTACAGACATTCTGCGTTCAGATGAACTTGCCACTTGCCCGGTGTTGGTGACAAGTCGCCCTTGGAAGGTCACAGAGATAAGAGATAATGATATTCTGAGGAACCTGTACACTTTCATTCATGTGGAAGGTTTTAGCAAGAAAAGTGTGGAGGGTTACATTCACAAGTACTTTCCAGAAGATGTGGCCAAAGCAGATCAGCTTATCCAATTAACCAAGGACAATGACATCATCTCTGAGAATATGGCCCCATATCCCATCTACATAGCTATGCTCTGTCTTATGTGGAGAAAAGTTAGTGACGTAAAACTGGAAAAATTTAAGTCATTTCAAACCTTTTCTCAAATATTTGATGAAATGTTTGAATTCTTGAAGGTGCATTATGCTCAGAAAGAGATCACAGATTTAGACAGCCAAGATTTCCAAGCCTTTCGCTGTCAAATTGAGAAGTTCATGGAACCAGTTGCCAAAGTTGCATTCATTGGGCTACAAGAAAAAACTTTTATTTTTAAAGAGGATGATTTTGAACAGTGCTCAGACTCCATTGAAACAGCTTGCAGAGTGGGGGTGTTGTCTAAGGAGAAAAAATTGTCATCTATACATGATAAAAGCAGTCCGTTCCTGCAGTCTACTTTCTTCTTTCCACACAAACTCTTTCAGGAGTACATGGCTGGGGTCCATCTTGCTTTCCTGTTTGAATTAGATCACAATGAATTCAACAGACTGATTGAGCAAGTAGTGCTGCCTAGAAAGAAAGAGTTTAGGTATCTCCTGTACTTCACTGTATCACGGGACAAAGCCATTGCACACCATGTCATGAAATGCATGGTACAGGGTGACAACCGAGGCAACTCGGATGTGGATTTGTTGGTTGATGTATCCTTTGAGAGTCAGGACCTAGATACCGCAGTCTTGGCGAGGGGTGGAATGTCATCTCTGACAATTAAACCACTCATGACAGCACACAACATAGCAGGTTATGTATTCACTGGACTAGGTGTACATAAAGATGTGGTAAGTTTGATATCTTACATACATTAATAAGTTTTATAATTTAAAGGGGATGTCCACCGTGATATTAAGTTGGTTTCAATAGAAGCAGAAAGTGAGAAAAACAGGTCAATGACAGTTTGAGCAAATTTTTTTTTAAATGATTTAAAATTCAAAATGTTCCTATTCTAATCGAATGTTGCTCAAACTTTCAATAATTTGTTTCTCTCCTTTTCCTACTTTTAGTAAAACCAACTTAATATCAGGGTGGACTTCCCCTTCAATTGCAAACCCAACAGGCATCTACAGACATACATTTTTTTCTAAGGAATGGTTATTTAATTTTTTTTTTTATTTATTCATTTATTCATGGTATCAAGCAAAATATGATTACGTAGCAGCTAATGGCTGAATTGTGCACACTTTACAAGCATGTTTTGAAATTACATAAAACACAATACTAAATATTGTAAGAATATCCAAAAGCCAGATTAAATATGTAGATTGAATAATTTAAGAAAACAAAAACAGAACAAATATAAGTCATGAAACAGAATTCATGGAGAGAAGAAAATTGCACTTTTGATCAATCGATCCCACCATTCTATCTATTCTCTTCTTCCCCCTCTCCCCCCATTCTCTCTCTCTCTCCCTCTCCCTCTTGCCTGTGGATTGTCGGCATATATATTGATAATTTGGTTACATATATTTGGTTTAATTCAAGGTTTAAAATATTTAAGATAAATTCAAAAGAATATATAAATTTAATCAACGGTATGAGTATTAAAAAGAGTAAAACATATTGCATAATTACAACCGTCAAATTGGTCAATATTGATGAATTGCATCAATTTTTTTTGCAGGGCTTGAATGGAAAAATTGTACATATGGTATAATAATCTAATTAACACTAAATAATTGACAATAATGACATGATAACGCATTAAACTGAGGATAATGGGATTTTGCTGGTAGTTTTACCTAAGGATATTGCACAACAGATTTATTTATGGCTCCCTCCCCCCTTTACTTTAAATTTAAATTCAAATTCAAGAGCCTATGATGAGGTAGAGGAGAGCACTTCAAGTTCTTTTTTTAGTGCTCCGTTTTACAAAAGACTTCGGACTATGTTTGGCCATTTCCAATAATTGAACATGTAAAGTTGATCGCAAGGGAGGAAGCCAGTGTTGAAAGTTTGATGATGGGCTGGTCAATCTTTTGAACAGACTAAATGCTAGTTTCTCTCGTCATTCATTGAGAGTGGGCAGTTCCAATTCTTTGAGAGCATGTTGGTTAGTACAGTATGCGGCGCTTAGAGACATATTTTGTGATAAGCGATATACAAATGTTGTTAATTATTATTATTATTATTATTATTATTTTGGGATTATTTCAATCTGATTACTTTGGTTTTCAGTTAGCCCAGAGTGCCAAACAGGGGCACAATATTCTACCATGGGCCGAACATGCATGTAAGAACAGGTAGACACATAACAGATCATTTGCTGGAAGTTTGAATCCGTTTAAAATTCTGAGCATGTGTAGTCTTGTGCTTGCTCGCTTCATTCACATGGCATAACCATTTCAGATCATTTTTAACAGTACTCCAAGTAATTTTAATATGCCTATTTTCCTCTCTCTATTATCTATGACCTTATACCTGATTTTTCTGTGATATAATCAAGTCTAATAATTTTATTTTATTTTTTAAACAACATATATAAAATCAATGACAGATTATATTTGTAAATAAAAGTGGCATGGACATAAAGATCGAGCACTGTACAAAATCAATTGAGAAAGTATCAAATAATTCATACCCAAAATAACATTTAGGAGAGAAAGAAAGAGAAGAGAAGGAAACATTAATAACAAATTTGTACATGTCTTCAAGGAGATGTCTTGTACAATTTTTGACACTAATAATGTTTTTAAGCGGATATATACTAATGATGATTATTGACTGGCTATTTTTTTGTTTGTTTTTTCTTTTTAGTGGGGAGGGGGGAGGGTTGATATGAAACATATTGCTCTCATCTCCAGCTCGGGCATTATAAAAATACTAGGGCAGTATCATTTTATATACCCATCACTGTTATAGACTTATAGGCATATGGTAAATATCAACAGTACTATTTGAATAAGTTTGATTAGACTACCAACCCTTTTCTGGTCAGAATATAAGCCATCTTCTTGAAATGGCATTCTACAAAAACAGTTTTGCTGCAACCAGTCCTCTTGATAATTTGATGCTCAGACTTCAGAGTAACCCTTAATTTTGATGGAGGGAATAATTTAGGGCCCTTTAAAAATGGCCTTTCTTTACCATGCTGCATTGCAGATAAAATGTTATACCAGGCCTTCCTTTGCAAATAAATTTGGGATCATATAGGTTTCGTAGCACTACTCTGATGATATCGACCACTGTATTAAGTTCACATTCTGTAATCATTCAATGAGACATTCTTAATGCAGGCTGAGTGACAGAAGCATCAACAAAATTTGAGATGGTCTTAAACTATATCAATGGACTCTGACTTTCTCATATTTTAATTTTTTGTTTGTTTTGTTTTTGTTTTTGCTTTTGATTTAGATCGATCTTGGAGTAAATGGAGAATTTGGACCAATTATATCACATGATATGGGGGAGATTATATGCTCTGTGCCCTCTCTAAAGGATGTTACACTACTTCAAGCTGCCTTGCACAGTGACTTCTATGCAGTTCTTGCTAAAGAAGGAAACAAGTCCAAGGTGAGTGAAAAAACACATTGTAATGCCGTAGTCTAGCCTAAGGGGGCGCTTTGTCAAGACGCAGAACATCAATCGCTTGAAAATTTGAAAAATCACTGTGATTACAGTTGTAGAAAAAAAGTTAAGTTGGGTCAGGAATTTAAAAGTTAAAAACTAAAATGTGTATTGTTTTTGTCATTATGTCACTTTGCATCCTCCCAGTAAGATTTACACGAGGATGTTGCAAAATTTTCTCACAACAAAATACAAAATTGTAGTGGGAGAGGGAGGGGGGGGTAAACCTTCCCCCTTCAGTTGCCAAACTTCCTTAAATATCCCACCCACCTCCTCCCCCCCCCCCCCATTCCTGCCATGACAAGATATTACTGCCCCTGAATGTTTGATTTAGGGATAAACCATAATAAACTTGAGTATTGAATGGGAAATGCACATTGGGAGTCAATACATGCAAAGTGTTCAAATAATTTAAAGCCTATCAGAAAAGGTTTTTATTGCCAAGTCTTGAATTATATTAAGTGTTCACTTAACTTCTTTCTGATTTTACGTTCATGACATGTTGCATTAACCTCAATTTAAAATTTCTGCATCATGTCAGGTTTTCTTTTTACAATTTAGTTTTGACTATACAACCGTCTGTAGTGTATATTGGATTCCGGACCAAAGTTTGTGAAATCAAAGAATCAATTTGGAGAATGTTCTAAAGTAATATGAATCAAATATGGCATTTATTTTTAAAATTGCCACTCACAGACCAACAGCTTTTTTGGCTAAAATCACAGTGCACATACCTGCTTAAATGTAAATAAAAATATGGCTGATGATGATGATATCTAATTGAAAAGGGAATTGAGATGAAAATAAGAGATGAACTTGCATTTTAAGAATGTTATTCAATTTGTCGACAAACTCGATTTCCTGGTACATCATAGTTATTTACATTTAAAGCGACTACCTATATTCTTTATTTATGATATAACTGTTTTTCTTTCCTAATCACTGTCTGAGTCGCTGCTACTGTCACTGATTTTCGCTGCTCTGATGTCGTATTCGATGTCCTGCATCCTGCTAAATTTGCTTGATGGTCCTTGGTAGCGGCACCCTATGTAGCACGGTATTTCCTTCTTAGCACATGAGCAGTTCTTCTTGCACCCTTCAGTACATCTGCATGATATAGCCTTTTTCATTGAAACGGGCCAGGCTTGATGGGTACTTCGAACAGGAAGCACGTGCTGATCATCCAGATTCCACCCAAATTTTGTCCAGGGTGGGGTTTTAGGCTTGACAATGTGTGCTCTCTTATTCATCATCGTTGCAAGGGCATGCAGCTCTCTTTACATGAAGAAAAAATGCGTCTCCTGTTTGGGGGGGGGGGGAGGAGCCTTAGGAGAGTATAGATCTGTTGTTCAAAAACTTATATGCTCTGAGATTGCCCAGATCAGACTCCTTGGAGTCATCACTTGCTGAGGTGTTAATATATGTTGTGATGGCCCTAATACCTCCTTGATTAGTTCTCTGGATACAACGTCAGTGATGGCCCTTGCCTTGGGGTTCTCACCAAGTCAACAATCTCTAGTTCTCCATCACTGACAATGTTCTGTGTCATACGCAGAAGAGCAGTTACTTCATCACTCTTCCCTGATTTAGCTCTTGTGGGCCCAGACTTCTTTTGTTTCTTGTTTTGTGTGTGGACCGTGTTCAGCTTCATAATACTTGTCTTCTTCTGAAGACTGGATAGTGATTGAGACAGTGCCTCCACGCCTATTTGGGGCCTGTCACCACGAAATGTATTATACATTAAACAAGCTTTAAATTAAGGGGTCACACATTAAAATTGATAAATTATATCCAGAAATATGAACAAAAACCTAATTGGACTTTATAAACAATGGGATTACCCAGTTTTTAGATAATTAGGTGTAAAGTTAATGATGCATAACATAGCCTATATTATTTGCCAAAAAATGTTAGAAGGAGATATTTTCGTGACCTAAGCTCTGGGGACATAAACTACAAGACATTAATAAGTCGATTTTTGGAAAAATCTTAAATGTGGTAGGTGGGTCAATTTTCAGTACATACACACTATACAGTGTGTCTCTAAAAAAAGTAAACCCAACTTCAACGGCAAATTTTCAGAAAACTATAAAATATTTACACATTATTTTTTATGGTTAGATAGTCCAATAAGTCCTCTGTCCAATGATACCACGTAGGTTATGTAACTCTCATGCATGACTGAGCATGATTCAACTTAGTGAATGGGTGTGAAATCATCACTGTGGCAAGTTATTTCTTGCTATTGTCATGCATTCAGGGCCTATTTGAAGTTAAATCTTTGTCACATGTTAGGCCTATGATTACATAACAACTTCAGCAAAGGTTGTTCCTAACACAGGCACACTTCACATGCTTTCCAAACATGGTACAGTTGACAATTGAGCAGAGAGTATTCCTGGTAACTCGATACCAGGAAACAAGAAGTTTCGTGGAAGTTCAAGATGCTTTTCGGGTGCAGTTCCCCGAGAGGCAGCCTCCAACAAAAAGAGCCATCTGGTACAATGTGAGAAAGTATGCTGATCACGGAACCAGTTTGAACAGGAATAAAGCACTGGAAGTTCATCAATCAAATGACATAGGAAATGTCTGATTTCTTACAAGCATAGCTTAGGGATGTGTACCCTCGACATGACCGCCATTCCTTTCCATGCAAAGCTCGCAACGCCTCCTCATGTCCCTGACAGCACGCCTGATCATTCCCTGATCTTGTCGTAATCGGTTCACTTCACCTGTTATCTGTTGCCTCAGCTCCTGAATTGTGGCCGGTGGGGTTTGGAACACTTTTCCTTTAAGATACCCCCAAAGAAAGAAATCGCATGGTGTCAGATCTGGTGAAGGTGCAGGCCACTCAACTGGGAAATGAAGAGCAATGATGCGATTGCCAAAGAGTTCAGTCAAACGATTCCTCACAGCAATAAGTCTGTGGGCTGGGGCCCCATCCTGAGCCCACCAGGCCCTGCGGAATGCTCCACGTCGTTGTCGGGGGAAGATCTGTTCCATCTCAGGCACAATAAAATTGTTCAGCATGTCAAGGTACGCCCTGCCATTGATGTTGCCTTCAAAAAAGTAAGGTCCCACCAATGAACCATTGCCACAAAGACCAATCCAGACACTCACTTTCTCCCTGCTCATGTTCTTATTAAAAGCATATCCCGGTGGATGATGGAGTTCAGCATACTCGTGCTCATTGTGGGTGTTTACCATTCCATCCATGGAAAACGTTGCTTCATCCCCGATGGTAAAAAACTGGAGGAACTGTCGATCTCGGCTGCACCGGTTCACAAACCATTGTGAAAATTGAAGTCGTCTGGGAAAATCAGCTGGTAGAAGTTGGTGCTGAACATGAACATGATATGGATGGAGATGCAAACCCAGTCTTGCTATTCTGTTAAAAGTTGCGCGTGGTATTCCAGTATCATTTCTCCTGGTGCTTATGCGTGGGTTGGCTTGGATGGCCTCTCTTACCACTTGGATGTTTTCAGCAGACCTCCCAGTTCGTCTGTGGCCAGAGTGTCCTTTATTCCTGTTCAAACTGGTTCCGTGATCAGCATACTTTCTCACATTGTACCAGATGGCTCTTTTTGTTGGAGGCTGCCTCTCGGGGAACTGCACCCGAAAAGCATCTTGAACTTCCACGAAACTTCTTGTTTCCTGGTATCGAGTTACCAGGAATACTCTCTGCTCAATTGTCAACTGTACCATGTTTGGAAAGCATGTGAAGTGTGCCTGTGTTAGGAACAACCTTTGCTGAAGTTGTTATGTAATCATAGGCCTAACATGTGACAAAGATTTAACTTCAAATAGGCCCTGAATGCATGACAATAGCAAGAAATAACTTGCCACAGTGATGATTTCACACCCATTCACTAAGTTGAATCATGCTCAGTCATGCATGAGAGTTACATAACCTACGTGGTATCATTGGACAGAGGACTTATTGGACTATCTAACCATAAAAAATAATGTGTAAATATTTTATAGTTTTCTGAAAATTTGCCGTTGAAGTTGGGTTTACTTTTTTTTAGAGGCACACTGTACATCGCTATTACTACGATTGAGCCTAATGCGACACTGGACTCATTTCGTGGTGACTGGCCCCATTTGTTCTGCTCAAGTTGTCCTAAACTGTGCAATCAGCACATTGCCCAGTTGACACATTTATCAGGGATGTTGTAATTGCACTGGATGGATTCGTCTCGACTGCTACCATTACCTTGATGACCATCTCTGTGTCCCTTGTTACTCGACATACACCAGATTCATTGTTAGGGCTGGGTGAAAGAAGATGCAGCATCAATATTTTATTTTATTTGGCATCTGCATTTGTCTGTTCAAGAAGCATGTCAGGAGAAACACAATTGTGCTTGCCATCTGCTCTCCTTGCAACAAATGCACCTGCCATAAGTGCTTCATGTACATCAGGGGCTGTTTTAGGAAGATTTTTCATCTCATCAAGATAGAGAGTCAGAGACTGCTGCCCATATTTGTAATGCCCTGCTGCTTTGAGGTAAGGTATCATTCAATATGATTCACAGACATGTCCTACCCTGTCAGCTTCTCGCTGGTAGTAGTTAAATCTATGCAGAACATCAGGAAGGTGGACCAGAAGATTGCTGTTGGTTGATCAACCATTGATTCTGGGAAAAGTTCCTGAAGGGCTGATAACTGTTCATGGGAATTCTGAAGCATTTGCAACTTTTCAGTGGCCGTGATGTCTTTTTCATAGAGCATTTTCAAGACAGATTCCACCTCAGGCTGCCAGTGATCTGTTTCTCTGTCTGCTGCCCATCATGTCTAGAATGCTTCCTAGTAGAGGCGCCACATAGTTTCGCTCAGGATTCTGAGGGCATGTATGGCCTGGTAGTAGTCGGCTTTATCACCAAACATCTTCTTGGCAGCCCCTTCCTGGCACAGACCAGCTGCACCAAGAAAATCTTCTGCAC